TATATATATATATATATATATTTATAGATCTTAATAATTGACCTATACATCTACTAATTCTGTCAAAGGTTATTTTGCCAGTTCTCTAATAATAGATGTTTAGGTTGTTCCTAGTTTTCTATTATCAAATAAAAGAAACAGTGAACAGCTCTATAGATGTATCTTCAAGCAATTGTACAAGTATATCCACAGAATAAATTTCTAAAAGTAGAATTGCTTTATCAAAGGACATGGACACATAAAGTTTTCTTTATACTACCTAATTTCCTTATAAAAGCCTTTATCAATTCCTTCTAAATGTATATAAGCATTCCACTACTATAGGAATATTTTACATACTTCCTTTTTATAACTTTGAAACTACTATCTTTCTACATTTTTTGATGTGACAGTTAAGAGTTTAGATGGAAAATATAAATTTAGTTTAAAAATAAATTGACAGTAGTTTCTTCATATTCTGTTTAAAATTATCTCCTATATTGGTTACCTGGGTAAGATATCATTTTTATGTAGTTTATTTCTGCTTAAACCATTAAATATTATGGTCCTTTAGGATTTTCAGAGACACTCAGATATTCTTATTTTCTAAAACATTATCATTGTCAAATGCAGTTTTGTTCTTTGGATATCATTATTAATTACTAGAGTTTTAAGTTGCAGCTATATATGCCACAGTCCTGCAACGTTTAAACAAGTGCTTCCCTGAGGAATCATTCAGTAAATTAGGATTCACATTTAAAGTTCATCTTGTGATTTTTCTTTACCCAAAGCATATCTATGAGCTGAAAACCTTTCAAGAAGCTACAGAATCGTCTACAAAGCAATTAAATATTTCCTTAAAAATAATGTTTGTCTTTTCAGTTTTACTACTTATTTATACAAAAAAATTATACATTATATACAAAATTATATAAAATTATACATTATACAAAAAATAATGGTGGTTGTGAAATGAATTTCATAGAGTACATAGATGGTCTCTAGCAACTTTTCATTATCCCTTGACATCTCTGTTCTTCATGTGTGATTTGAAGTGTGGATAAAAATGAAAGTAAAATGATTTGATGCCAATGGCTAATTTTTATTTTAAAAACTACTTTTTAAAAGCACTGTGAGCTTCATTTAATGTAAAGTATTTCTGCAGAGTTCACTTTGCTGCTGCTTTGCAAAGGCGAATGAAAATAGAGATACTTTCCATTTACACATGCAAAAAACTGGGACACCAACAGGGAAGGTGACTGCCAGAGCATAAAATCAAGGAAGCCAGCAGTGTCTTGGCTCCTGGTCTGTGGTATATTCATTAGATTGCTACATCACATTCATCTTCATATACCCTCATTTCACCTCTTAGAAAAGAATGAGCTGAAAAATACCAGGAAGCAGACTGCTTCTTATAAACATTGCATGGCTGACATGAATATTTACCACTCAGTTTAATGTCCAAGAAATTTCTCTGTTCAAGGTTGTAGTAAAGAGTACTCTTAAATTCCTCTTAGTATTTCTAATTCGTTCAGTGAAACATGAATTTATTTATTATATACTTAACAATGTTGAACACTTCAGAGTAAAAGCCTTACTTTAAGTTTGAAGATGCATGCATAAGATTCCTCTACTTTAATAGCTATTACTTTATATTTCAGTTATACCAGTTATATCTTCTTTTTTATGCATAATCTTCTAAGAATATGCTAATATTAAATTAGGAAAGTAATAGTCACCCCCATCTGATAAGAACTTCAGATTTTGAGATTTTTAAAAATGACTAATTAAGGTAACATAAAATACTCAGGATCATAATGATAATGTAGATAACTGTTTGCTCTGAAATAATATCTATAAAGCCAGAAAAGTTACTGGGAACTAACTGCTCAAATTATAGCAATTGGATGTTTGGGAGTTCTGTAAGCTTTGCAATGAAGGACTAAAAATAGTACTCATTAATACCTTCATACCAAGTTATTAATTCGGTGATTTTTTAAATATAGGAAAAGTTATTTGAATCAGAAAGGCAAAGGAAACAATTGACAGAAGAACTGCAGAATGTGAAACAAGTAAGTGCATGAGTTATGTATACTCCCCGTTTTTATGTGTGTGTGTAAACATGTGAGATATAAAGCAGCAATGCATTATAATGTCCCAGATGCAAATACTCATATGGATCTATAAAGGAGTTACTTTTGGAAGTAGTACCTGTGTTACAGCTCTGCTACTACTGCTCAAAAGAAATGTTAAAACTCCTATTTGAAAATTGCTTTCAAAACCAGATATCCATTGACCAAAAGTGATCAGTCGCATTACTTTTCTATTCTGTTTTTTCTTTCTTTTTCCCTTTTCTTTTCACCTTTTATTCATACATCATTTCATTAAATAAATAAATAAACAAGGAAAAAAAACACCATCCAATGCAAACATTTTTTAAATTATAGAACATTGTTGGAGATGAATGGTGGTCACCTGATTTCAAATCTCTCCTATATTGTCCTCTCAAAGATATAAAATTGACAAGCAGAGCAAATAAAGCTATACATGGCCCTTCAACATGACTATGTGACAGAGAACACCACAACCTTCAACTTACATGTAAATCAAGCAGGAAGGAAAAAATTGCTGCAGCTCACTTGTCACAGCAAGCCTGGGATCAGAGAACATCATAGGTAAGACTTAAAGTACTATAAGAAAGCATGAAGGAAGTAGAGAAATTAAATGAAATACAAACAAAATCACCTCCAGAAAGTGAAAGTGTACCAATAAATGCCAAAATACTGAATACAGGTCAGGATTCAGTGGTCCTCATTGTTGTTGTTATGTGCTGTCGAGTCGGACCTAACTGACCGCTCTTTGGGTTTCCGAGGCAGTATCACTACAGAAGTAGATTGCCCAGTCTTCCTTCCGAGGCACTACGCTATCAGCGCTGACTATAAGAAAGAGACTTGAAAGTGTATGCAACCAGAAGTAACAGCCTTGGAGAAACGCTGTTTCTTGAGAAGAATCAGATATATAGAGAAGGCATGGTATCCTTGAAGACTAGGCAGTGAAGGAAAACAAGGAAATGAGAGGAGGAAAATTATAGATCCTACAGAAATTAAAGAGAAACATGACACACTAATTAATTCTCCCAGCCTACCCCCACCCCCACAACCATCAACCACAGTGTCCAGAAAAGAAACTGCACAGAAGAGGATACTTTGAACTAAGAACTCTTACCATGAAGCAAAAAAAGAATAGAAAAAAACCTGACCCCATCATTAAAAACTACTGTAAAAATCAAACAATGTGAATTCACACTTTCCTGCCAATGAACACTCTCCAAAACAATTCAGTGCACAAAGCTGAAGAAAACTAACATGACACTCCAAACTCAACTAAGTATATCTTCAAATAGCATTTAAGGCTATGAAAAAATACAAGTCAGAAATAAAAAAGTAAGAATAGAAAGTGTTGAAAAGCAGGAGGAAATGGAATGAGAGTTGATAAAACATAGGAAAGAAACAGAAGGAAAAGGTAAATACATATCAGATACGAAAACCGAATTACAAGGTGTCCAACAAAAAATACATATAAAAATGAAAAGGCATTGAAGAAAATCAAGAAAATGAAACTGAAATGAAGTAAAATGGTTTCCTGAAGAAGTAAATCAAAACATCTAAACAACACGAATATTTAGAATTATAATCCAAGAAAGCTTTCTAAGAATGAAAGAAGATCAGAATCTGTTACAGGGTACCGGGGAAATTTGACCTGGAAACTCCACCATATACCTTAGTAAAACTATCATAATTTTAAAATAAAAAGTGGTCAGAAGTTCTGGTTAAAAAGATTATATAACTTACTAAAGCACTAGAATTAGATTGGCATCAAAAACAACATACAGAGGGAGGCAATGGTGGAGCAGAAACTTTTAAAGAAAGTAACCTAAAGAAATTGTGAAATATTTTGTATGGCCAGATTGATGTTCAGCTAGCAAGGCTATAGAACATAAGTTCAGAATGTGCCAGGACTTGGCTGGAGTAGTGTACACATGTGGTATTACTGAGGAATCTAGGAGAGGATGAGCTTCATCCAACCAAAAAATTACTAGCATAACTTTGGCAAAACTTTCCAAATAGTGAACACATCACAAATTTCATTGTAGAGCTGAGATTAAAATGAGATTGAGTTCATGGGTGAAAGGATAATGTGTAAACATTAAATTCTGAAAAAATAAAAAATAAAAAGAATGTAATTTAAAAAAAAAAATAAAGGAAAAGGAGAAAATAAAATATGTTCATTCTGTTGAACATATTAAGTAAAGGCTAGCCATCCAGGAATATCATTTAAAACTGACATATTAGATAGAAAAGATTGAGTAAGAAAAAAGGGTAATATAAGCACTGTAAAAAGTAATAATACTAATGTAACTTACAGAATAAAAATTAAAATCTTTCTAAATACCAAAAGGAATTTATTAAAGATGCAAAAGGGACACATAAAATAAGCACAGTAAATTTAATATACCCAGTAATTTCAATATAAAACAGAGATCAAACGTAATAGTCATTTTAATCACCATAAGTGGGATTAATTCACCTATCAAAATAAAAGGTTTTCTTAAGAAAAAAATACTTTATCAAAACTGACCTCAGTAGATACAGAAAGTCTAAACAGACTAATATCCATAGAAATAAAGTTATCAAGGAACAATGCTACAAGAAAGGACCAAGCCAGATGGTTTCACAGAAGAATTTAACTAGACCTTTGGCGATCAGCAGCAAAACTACATAAATTGCTTCAGATTTGAGAAAATTGCCCTAATTCTATGATACAAGTATAACATTGGTCTTTCACCTGATAAAAGTAAGACAAAAGAAAATGCAACAAGACTAGAGAAAACAATTAGAGTCATGAATTGAAAAAGAAAACTGTATTTGCAGATGACATGGTAGCATATCTGGAAGACCCTAGAGAATCAATGAAAAAATGAAACAGTATCATAAGCTAACAAGATAGAAGATTAATATTCAAAATTCAGTTACATTTATGGGGAAAGAGGAGGGATCTTGCTTATAGTAGAATGCACCATGCTGACTGATAACTATGGAGCGGCTGCTAGACTTGGGAAAACAGCCTTCTGCATCTATTTTAGTAAAGACGGGATCAGGCAAGAATCATTAGATGCTAAATCTAGGGAGATATTTTGATGAAGAGAAGAATATGTACATGGTTTTAAATTATCTCCCTAAAAACTGCTTAGTTCTTACAAGCTGAAAAATAATATTCATACGGTAGAGAAATCATATAATACTTTGACCGGTGACAAAAGTGGACAAATCCAATGAAATCCATTTTATTACTTCAAATGTGCTACCCTTAAAAGGACTTTACTATCACTTATGTATTATTCTGGCCAAGAATCTATAACCTGAGTCTAGCCTCAGGAAACATCAGAAAAACAAAATGATGGAAAGTTTTATTATTTATTTATTTTATTTCATTTATCTACCTACCTATTTATTTATTTATTTATTTATTTATTTATTTTTAAAAAAAAGGCTATAGAATGTCCCAGAGTGAAGAGGCTAAAGAGACATGATAACTAAATATAATACCTAACCCTAAACTGGATTCTCCCTTGGAGGGAGAAAAATTCTATAAAGGACATTATTGGGTCAGCTAACAAAATTGGAATGCAGAAAGATTAGATAAAAGTAGTTGTGGTAGTTAAAGTTGTGTGTCAACTTGGCTGGGCCTGGTTGAGTGGCTGGGCAGCTGGTGGTAGTTATTTCCCCATGAGGAGACTGCCATCTGAGTAGCTGCTTTAGGGGTGTGGTCTGCTTCCTGTATATAAGAAGCAGCTTTAGGCATAGTCTCCAGCTTATGGCACACTTGAACCCTGCATGTAGCCATGTCATTGTTCGGCAGCCTGCCATGCTCTGCTGACCTTGGGGCTTTCAATGGACTTGAATTAATGGCCTGCCATGTGGTTTGTGCCTTTTTACTTGTCAGCCTTGGGCTTGTCAGTCCCAGCAGCCAGCAACTGTATGAAGAAAAACCTCCAGCTTCAGTGGGCTGGGAGTAGGAGGCAGCCCTTAGAGCCTTTTTACTTGTCAACCTTGGGCTTGTCAGTCCCAGCAGCCAGCAACTGTATGAAGAAAAACCTCCAGCTTCAGTGGGCTGGGAGTAGGAGGCAGCCCTTAGAGCCTGACACTTTGAACTCAGACTTTAAGCCTCCAAATTGGAAGAGAAACTCCTGTTTGTTAAAGCCACCCAACTTGTGGTATATTCCTGTCAGAGCAGCACTAGATAACCAAAACAGTAATGAGTCAACATTAAATTCCTGAATTTGATAATTGTTCTATGGTTATGTAAGAGAATGTTTCCATTCATAGGAAACACACACTGAAATTTTTAGAGGTAAAGATCCATAGCTATGATAAAGATGGTTACAAAAGAATTATGTGTGTATTTACATTTCCTTGGGTGGTACAAAAGGAACTCTGGTGGGTAGGAAAAGCATTTGGCTGCTAACCAGAAGGTCAGCAGTTCAATCCCATCCACTGCTCCACAGAAGAAAGATGAGTCTGCTTCCAGAAAGATTTACACCTGTGGAAAGCCAATGGGGTCCCTATGAGTCAGAATCAATTCAATGGCAGTTAGTTTTTAGCTTGGATGGTGCAAATGGTTAACACACTTGGCTGTTAACTAAAAGGCAGGAAGTTCAAATCCATCCAGAGCACCTTGGAAGAAAGACCTGGTGATCTCTGTCCAAAAAATCAGCCATTGAAAACCCTGTGGAGCACAGTTCTACTCTCACACACATGAGGTTGCCATGAGTCAGAATTGACTTGATGGCAGCCAGTTATAAACATTTATATCTTTAGCTATATAAATATAGAGAAAAAAGAGATAAAGATAGAGACAGAGATTATGCAAAATCTCAGCAGCAACATCCTTGAAATATCAGTGGTTTACAAGAATACTTTCTTTCTCCCTGATGAGCATGTTGGCAAGAGGGTGAATCTGAAGAATTAGGGCATCAGCTAATAGCAAACTTCAACAAGACAGAAAAGAACAA